AAAAGGACGTGGATGTCCAAAAAGAATAAGAGTCTGCAGAGTTGGGTCCTTGGACATGGCTCCTGTGTTTCCACATTCTTACAGGGCCATCCAGCTCTCTCTGCCATCTGTGCCTTCCCTACATCCATGTGTGAATATGGAAATAATTCAGAAGCTCATATATAATTTTCAAAATTTACTGTATTCTGTATTTAGTGTATTCAAACGCACTCTCCTGCATTGACAACAGTTAGGACAAAGCATTATATGTGTGTATAAAATTCTCAAACAATGAAAATGTTTATTTGTATTTAAAGTATATTTTCTCTCTAATTTCTGCATATCTGTTTGAGTGAATAAATGGCCATAATGACTGACTTATAAATTCTAGAAAAAACATATTAATATGCAATTAGGATTTATAAATGTACAATGAAATATAATTTGAAAGTAAAATTTTATTGTAAGAATAAAGGTTTTAACATTGATACCACAAATGGCCCCTCTCACTTCATCAGGACAGTAGTGGCACTTTTATCTTGGGGGTAGTCAACCCACTCAGTGGGAGGAAACTTGTGTGGCATTATAAACCTAGCCAAATACACATAGCTGGAGATGTCATAGATCCTAGAGTCACATTCCTAAACAAATATAATTTCCATTGTGGAAGAGGGGGTGGAAAAATTTTGAGAACCAGGGATGAGGTATATGACCATAAGGAAATAGAGTCCCACAGTCTCCTGAGAGTCTTCTCTTTGTAACCTACAGCAATGGTGTCAGCATGCACAAGACCCATGCAAACTCAAGCAGACAAAAACCCAACACAGAACTGTGGAAATGGACCAATTGTAGTTGAAGAATTATTAGCAGCTGATTACTGTTAGGTGAGAAAGAGCTGATCTTCTTAAAGAGAGGTTCTCTAGATAGGCTGACTAGACTTCAGTGGATGAACTTGTACTGAGGGACAACTGGGGACACTAACTTGACTTGTTAGGCCTTAGTACAAATGACAAAATATTTGAATTCCCCTGGGTAGGGGGAGCTATGGGATGGAATCAATGGGGAAGGGTTTATAAAGATGATTAAGATGTTATATATGAAATATGCAAAAATTCAATAAGAAGATTTTTTAAAAAAGAATAAAGGGTTCTGCTTTCAGAAAATTTTTGTTACTTTTGGTAAACCACTTTGAGCCATCATTTCATTTCATTACTCTCAAACCCCATTATGATTTTTTTTTTTGCAGAAAACATACAGAGCTGTCAATTTTTAGCTTAAATGCAAAATAAGTGTGCTTTGTGGGTTCCTAGAGATGTTTTATCGTCACTCTGGATACTAAGGCCTGTGGGGTGTTTTATTAAAACCTTTCTATTTTCTGTATATCTTACAGATGCTGTTAAGTACAGTATCAGTGTATTTGGTTATTTTTCCTTATCAGAGTGGGGATTTCTGAATACTTGAGTATTTTGTATCCAACTTTGCCAAAAAACAGCAGGAATGGAGATAAGTTAATTTTTTTCTCCCATTTTTTAATGGTGGTTATAATGGTCCTCAAAATTTCCCTAGGTGTTGAGTGTTACAGAAACATACATATACGTCCTCAGTTTGCATATAACTTTTCTGTTATCAAGGTCATACCCTCCTAAAGAAGATGACTATGTTTGTTGAGTCCTTTGCCCTTAGGCTGATGTTGGTACTTTGTGTGGCATTCATGTCCTATTTGTTTTAGTTGGTGATGACTTAAATATTTCTTGGAGTATGCCCCAAGAATTTAGTCTGCAGTAGTGATTTTTACCTTCTATTTCCTGGCTTTCTTGCTTGGGAGCAGAGCACTGACAACTTCACCTTCCCAATGACCATGTGTTCAACCAGGACAGTGCTTTTTCACAAGATAAACAGTGATTAATGTAAGCCAATCACAGTGGTCAACCTCCAGTTTTCATGGGTTCTATTAAATATGAATTCGTGAAGTAGTTCTAGCCAGAGATGTTAAGGGAAGTTTGATAAGTATCTGGGAAAAATATTTTCCTTTGCTCTTAAAGGGGAATGCAAAAGAAATGTCCCATTATTCCTCTGGGTGCTGTGTGCCTGTGGGTAATTGGAACAGTAGCTACGTTGGGAGATAATGAAGGGAGCCAACTTAGGAAGAAAGCCAATGTACTCAAAAAGGAGAATGGAAAGATATAAGGAATGGGGACAAGTGAACTGTTGGATCTTCCAACACTAATGCTGTATTTTAAATTTCCTTAGTCTGCCTGCAAGATTCCACAAAATAAATAGCTTCAATACTCAGATGCTAAAAGTCTATGTATCGAGTAATTGTTTTAAAAGGAACAGGTTACAGTAGCATCAATCATCTATTCCCCTTTTCTGCTCTGTTTAACCATTCTGCCCCCAGGATAGAAGATTCTTGGCTCTAGTCCTGATTAAATAGATATAATTGACAACCATACCTTATGAAATAGCAGGGTTGTTTGAAGAGATCCCTCCTGCGTCTATGCTAGGAAAAAAAACTGGGATATTGGAGGCAAGTTCTGAGAGCATCTTACTTGATAGGTGTATTGGCTATTACAAAATTGTGCTGTGTAGCAAGAGTTCAGACCTTATAATCTATCAGGGATGAGAGAGTTTGGAGATAACTTCTCTCTCCTAAAGTTGTTCCAATAGCACAGGCATTCCTAGCCTTTTCTGTGACATTTTGGGCCAGGTCTGCCTGTGTCATGTGATACTGCTCTCGGCATTTTAAGATGTTTAGTTGCATCCTTGGCCTCTTGCCACAGTATGTCAGCAACATTTCCCAGTTTTAACAGTCAAAAATGTCTCTAAAAATAGAAAAAGTCCTCTTGGAGGACAAAATTACACCTGCTTGAGAGCAATTGTTTTATGTAGAAGATCATTTTTTTATTTGGAGCATTTTGCCCTAGGACTAGGGCAGAATAGAAAGGTAATTTTAGCCACCATTGCCTTAATAACTTATATGACTAGGAAAATGCAACAATTTTACTAAATTCTTGCAACTTAATTTGTTCAGTTTAACAAGAAACCTTTTAATTTGAGATATATTTTAAGTCAGAATATTGTTACTATCTAAAATTCTTTACTCCATATGGGGGGCGCAGAAGAGGGAGGGGATAGAAAGATGATTAAGACTTTTTCTATGAAATGCACAAAAATCTGATATACATTGAAAAAAATTAATACTTTGCTCATTCAAAATCAGCAAAGGCAGCTGGGTGTGGTGGTACAAGTCTGTATTCCTAGCACTTGGAAGAGGAAAGCAGGAGGATTAGAAGGACAGTAAGTTTGACGAGACCCTGTCTCAAAAAGAAAAAAAGCTTCAATAAAATAAAAAGCGGTGTCAGAATCACATTATTTTTAATCCCTTTCCTAAAGATTAAATAATTACAAATTTAACCAGTAGTCTCTAATGTATTGATGTATAACTCTTCCTAATGAGGCCTCACTTTGTCACTTAATAGAATCAAGCAGGAATTCATTCTCCATCTGAAAATGGGAAGATCCCACCTATAAAGACAGTTCATGCCTACATAAAAATTGTAGGAATTGGGAATCTGTACAATAAATAAGTGTTTTTGTCAAAGTGACAAATTCTCCCAACATGCCTGTGTCTTCAGTGTTAGATCTCATTTGCGCATGATCCTCCCAAGCAAAAAGGGTCTTTTCTTTTTGTGTCTTCAAAGCTTTGCAGCCGCCTGATATACAGAAGCTGTTTTATATACTTAGGAGATGTTTGAATGAGTATTGTCAATTTATTGATTGTGAAAAGATTTCAGGCAAGGATTCAAAATAAATAAAATATTTTTGAAAGGCATTTAAGTCATCTCCTATGTGTAGAAGTTTCTAGTATGTTTCTCAGGTTCTGGGACATAACTCAAGTTCCCCAGTTTAGTATTTAAGCTGCCGAACTCTTTGCCTTTCCTCCTTCATTGCCTTCCCCTCTTTGACACGCTCGTATTCTTTCAGATCTTTTAACTAGTCATATTCTTTCCCATCAGGAGAGCATGAAGCTGCCGTTTCTTCTGCCTTCAACCTTGCTACCCATTCCTTGCTTTGAACTTTCAGTTTCTTAAAGAAGCACGAACGTGTTTCCCCATTCCATGTAATCTTTTCCATATTTTGTGCTTTTTCTTCAGAGCTCTTGCCACAATTTGAAGTTATTCATATCTGTGTTTGTTTGCTTCAAATCTTCTCTCATTGGATAATCAGCTATGACGAAGTCTTTTATTTCAATATCTGTTCCATACTTTGAATTTACCTAGCACATAATAGGATTTTTAGCAACAGACTCAATGAACCATGGTGGATTTGCCTTGCAAGATGGGTCTGTGTCAGAAAACAATATGTTTTTCTTTTATTTTTCCTTGTATTGAATCTTCAGACTTGGTGTAAGCATTTAATGTCAAAAGAGTGTGGGAGTGATTTATTCCTGCTGTCCACAGAGTGGCAGGTGAGGTGGCATAGAACCGTAATGAAAATTGACTCCTATCCAGAAACATACACTAATGTGAATGGCTTAGAAAAAGGCAGGTATCTTTCCAGTCTATTCATATGTAGGAAGGAAACTTGAGTTGTATTTTTAAAATTCTAACTTTTTTTCTTCAGCACTTTGGATTCATTCAGTGATGTTTATAATATATACTATATATTTTCATTCATATATTAGTATACAGACACATATATAGACATGTACACCTCTTGACTTATTGCTTAGTAGCTTTTTAACCAATAGGATTTCAGTATACATTGCATTAATATCAACTCCTGGATTGGCTTAACTGCCTGTGATGTCACAATTTACCTTTTAGGAAGTCATAATTTTCTTGAAATCACATTGCACTAATAACATCACTTGAATTTTCATGATAAGTAAGATAAAGTACCAAGAGTAAAAATGCTGGAAGGAGCAAGCTATCTTTAATCCATGCAGACCTCATTCATTTAAGTGGTTTAGTAATCCATTGAAGACAACTGAAGCTATCTTCTTTACCTTCTTTTACAACATGCTGTTTTGTTTTTCAAGTTTGTTAATTAATGGAGGAATGAACCCACCTAGACTTACTCCTTCAACTCACAGGTCTGTTTCATCTCAGCTGTTGAGGCTTAGCATCTTTCTTCTACTTAGTTTTCCTGACTCCAAAGGAAAAGCTATATGGACAGCTCATCTGAATATAACATTTCAATTGGGAAATCGGATTATAACAGAATTTGGAGAGAGTGGAGTGTTTGGAAATCATTCTCCTCTGGAAAGGGTGTCTGGTGCCGTGGTACTTCCTGAAGGATGGAGTAAGAACGCTTGTAATCCACTGACCAACTTCAGTAGGCCTGATCAAGGAGACTCTTGGCTGGCCCTCATTGAACGGGGAGGCTGTACTTTTACTCATAAAATCAATGTAGCAGCAGAGAAGGGAGCAAATGGGGTGATCATCTATAACTATCCAGGTACAGGCAACAAGGTATTTCCTATGTTTCACCAGGGAACAGAGAATGTAGTTGCAGTGATGATAGGCAACCTCAAAGGCATGGAACTCTTACAATTGGTCCAGAACGGTGTCTATGTGACAATCATCATTGAAGTGGGGACAATGCACATGCCATGGCTGAGTCACTATATTATATCTCTGTTTACCTTCCTGGCAGCCACAGTCGCTTACCTTTTCCTCTACTGGGCCTGGAGACCCCGAGTACCCAATTCTTTCACCAGGAGGCAAAGACAGATAAAGGCTGATGTGAAGAAAGCTATTGATCAGCTTCAACTTCGGGTGCTCAAGGAAGGGGATAAGGAACTAGATCCAAACGAAGACAGCTGTGTTGTTTGTTTTGATACATACAAAGCCCAAGATGTAATACGTATTTTAACTTGCAAACATTTTTTTCACAAGACATGCATTGATCCCTGGCTTTTGGTCCGTAGGACATGCCCCATGTGCAAATGTGACATTCTAAAACCTTAAGAAGCCCAAAGATTTTTCCGCAAATTAAGATTAGATGAATTCTCTCATTGCCCTGTATGCACAGAGAAAGCTTCAACCTTAGTTTCTCTACCCAGCTAATGAAGATGAAATGTGTGCACTTTGAAAATAAAACTCCGTGTCATGCTCAGTGAATTGTTGTCTTTCTAACTATCTTTGTTAGAAATTGTTGTTTTAGCCAAATAATGACGTTGGTACATGTTAAAAGCAATACTCACTTAATCTTCAAGTTTCTATGATTATGACATTGATGCAGTGAAGAGCTGACCATACTGTTTTAAGGTTTCCTTTTAACATTTTAATCCTTGTGCTTTATTTTAATGCTTAAGTTTTGATTTCTAGCAATTTTATCTTTTTAATAAATTTCATTATAGGATTAAATTCTGATTTAATTTGTTATGGTTGATTGATTTTATTAATACCCAGGAAATCTGGTTTCCAAAGCTACTGATTGAGTGGGTACTTTATTGTAAATAATTATTTTAGCTCATAGGACTTGTTATGTAACTAAAAGGTATAAAGTATTTAGGCCTCATCTAGAGCAGTATTACAGAAATTCACCTCTGTTTGCCAGAGATCTTTAAACCCTCACATAGTGAATCTACCATGGTGACAGAATTTCCTTCTTGATGCGTCACTAGTGGATGCCTTTTGCTTTCTTCTCAAAAGGTAGGGAATATGTCTAGGGTTTTTGATAACAGCACAGAGCTAAAAATTTTGTTCAGTTGTCATTCCTGTATTTAGTTTTGACTCATTTCTCTTCATTTTTTTTTCTAGTATATAAATAAACACCTATGTATTATTGAGAAACTGAAAGAAAGGGTTTTGTGGTTTTGATGAAAATATCTCTCTGCTTTTGATCTTTACATAGCACTTGATGAGTCTACATGAGTCTATACTCTATGTAGTATGCTTTTTCCTCAGGAAGTTGTATAGACATGAAGTCATTAATGACCTTTATAAGAGAAAATCAACCATTGTGAGCTAAAGGTTCCACATTTTCTTTCCTATTTGTGCCAGTTTTTGAAATTTTTACCTGATTATGTTGACAATTTTGTACATGTATACAGCATGTTCCAATTACCCTCAACACCCTTTCTTATCTCCCTCTCATTCTTACGGATCTCTACCCCTCATCTCTACTTTTCCCTTCTCAGGACTAAAGGCATTTGGAATGACACATTTAGTTTAACCAGAGCCATCTGTGTGTCTGTTGGATTAGACTACATACTGGTGCCTGATGGGGTCATCAATTGGCATACATTTGAAGATAATGGTTCCCATCTCTCCCTGAATCCATCAGTATGAAATAGTTCAGAGTGAGGAGTAGGACCCTTTGAGCCCCTCTCCAACCATGCTTGACAGTTGACAGACCCATTCTTGTGCAGACCCAGTGCAGGCAACTGCAGGTCCTGTGAGTTCATGATTGTAACGGCTCTGTCTTGCTTAGAAGATGACGTTTCACAGCCCTTCTCCCTGTCTTCCAGATCTTTTACTCTTTCTGCCTCTTTCTTCCACAGTATTCCTTTACCATTAGTGGGGATAGTATAAATGACTTAAGGCTGAGTATTTATCCATCACTTATTCAGCACTCTGTTCAGCCAGGAGGGTCTGTATTCACCACTGTTCACTAGAAATAGAGGCTTCTTCGATTAAGACAGAATATTATGTACCTTTGGGTTTAAACAATATTGAGATTACAGCCTGACACTTTAAGTTAGCTAAACAGCAGTATTCAGTTCCTCCCCCCAACATTTTTGTTCTTCCCAGTCATGAAATTTTTTCTCTAATATTTTTATTGAATATTTGTGCATTTCATATAATACATCTTAATCAAATTTAGACATTTTCCCCCCTTCCAACCCTCCATAGCCTCCACACCAGATTTCAGATATTCTGTTATATATGTTAAGTCTTATCCGGTCAAGCATTTGTATCCAGATGTTCCTTAGTGCAAGTTCATCAACTAGAGTCTAGGCAGCCTATCCGGAGTCACTCCCTTAAAGAAGATCTACTTTCCCTTACCTCACAGTAATCATTTGCTAATAGTTCCTTGGTTAGGGTTGGGACCACAACTGACCCAAGATTTAGAGAATAAGAGACTATAGAGTCCATGTCCCTGGATAGAACTCCTATACTAAAGCTCACCCACCCACGGCTCAGAGACCATTATGGAAGAGGGAGCAGAAAGATTGTAAGAGCCAGAGTTGATGCATAAACATAGGGAGGCAGGTTTCCAGGACTCTGGGAACTTGCTCATGAAATTGCAACAGTGGTGACAGCATACACAAGACCAGTGCAGATTCAATTAGACAAAATCCCAGTCATGGATTTTTCACTGGACACAGTCCTCCTCTCTTGTAGCAGGTCTCCAAACCAATCAGAGAGCAATTGCTTACTCCCAACAGTAGTGCCACTACTGCACAGTTGAGCACATCTTGCCTGACACATTAGCCTCATTGATCACAGCTGGGTAAAACCACTGATGCCTGTTCTCCCCCAGCAGCCTGCATAGCATCTTCTAGGCTATGACATCTACCTGGCAGGGAGGAAGCTCTCAGCTCAGTTCCAGATTTCTTTTTCTATATCATGCATCCAAGTTGTTTGGTGTCTTCAGCAGTAAGGTCTTATCATCTAGTACTGCTGGGAAAACAAGAAGTACAAGAGCCTGTAGTGTTTGGGGACCTCAGGAGCCTCCCTCATCAACAACTTATTAATGCCGCTCTTCTTTGAGCAGAAAGAACTCCTGTTTCCTGCCTCATGTTGTTGAATTCATATACTGTAAAAAGTACTAAGTCTCTTAGTCCTGGTGAGTCCAGTTTAAAATGGCTTTTGGCACTCTGCATATAGATTTCCCAAGGATTTCTTTGTTAAAGGTAAAAATCTTTACTTTGGCTTTTTAGCTCATAAAACAGTAACAGGGTGATACTCTTCCAAGAAAGTATGTAGCAACAATTGTAGTAGTTTATGTTTGTTAATTCTTTAGAATTAAAGTTATTTAAACCTATTGACTGGAGGTTGCAAAAATGTAGGCAGAGTTGGCAGTGTATATGGGGTCTTCTGGTAGAGATATTTGCTGAATTTGACCCAAAATTTTGTTAGCATCATCTCTTTCTGATCTGTAGCAATTTTTGCTGTCAGTGGTTGGTTTTTAAGTCTTGACCTTGTGGCTTTTTTAAGTCTTGACCTTGTACCTTTTTTAAGTCTTGACCTTATAGCTTTTCTTTTCAAAATCAGCATATACATTAAAAAAGGAAGAATTGTGCTTGAATAATACTGCTGTATTTAATCTTTACTCCTCGACTTTCTCCTCTTCAAAATATTGTTGGATTGGTAACAGATGTCGAGATCTGCAGAGAACAAAGCTTCTCTAGATAGAAAGCCTTTATTCCTATCATTTATATGTGCTGTCAGTGTATGAGACAGGGGAGTTAGAGGAATGCCTTACTTTAAAGATCTAAACGACAAAATTAACAAATGTCTCAAAGCTTATATCAAATACATGTAGTGTATTTGATACAAAAAGTTATTTAAAGTTGACAGTGATTTTCCTTTGGTCACAATACTAATTTGTAATTATTTATATTTATATATTTTGTTAGAAAAAGTTACTTCTTAGGAAATGTGACAGTCATATAGTAATCTTACATACACTTTGAGGCTTTTAAACACCATCTATTGCATAAATGTTTGTTTTATTTTTAGTTTAATGTGCCACCTGCAACATTTTATGTAACTCAATGATTGAATCAGCTTATAACCACAAGGGAACTACCCATACCCACATTGGACACTTAGGCCAATAAATTTACATTGTGCTCTGAACTCTTACCTAATTGGCTATTTGGCCTTTTATGTCATAATCACCTCATGTAACAGTAAGTGGTATCTAAAGTTACAGTAGTGAGACAGGGCTTTTTAAAAATTTTTCAATCTAAAGTTTTTCTCTCTAATAAAACATCTGAAACTCAAGACATCTTAAAAATTTCTCTTTCTGAAACATGTTGGAAGACAGTGGATCTTATTTTCACCCAGAAGCTATTTTGCTCTTCCTCATTTTGAACTGATTATCAACAGATGTTGAAGTCAAACCCTTTGGTTGGATTGACTCTTGAAGTCATTAGTGGAAGACAGAGATGAATCTCTTTAAGACTGGCATTTGGCAAAAGAACACTGCGTCCTCCTGGCTTATGAACTTCTATTTTATTTGGCTTGTTTGTCATAACTGTTGCAGAGCAAATGCAGTTTGGACTGCTTACATGAACATATCATTTCATGTGGGGAACCGCATGTTGTCAGAGTTGGGAGAGACTGGGATCTTTGGAAGAAGCTCCACTTTAAAGAGAATAACAGGAGTTGTAGTGCCACCAGAGGGAAAAACTCAAAATTCGTGTGATCCCAATACCATTTTCATCAGACCAAGGAACAAAGAGCCCTGGCTGGCACTCATTGAACGGGGAGGTTGTACCTTCACACAGAAAATTAAGGTAGCATCTGAGAAGGGAGCCAGCGGAGTGATCATCTATAACTTTCCAGGAACGGGCAATCAAGTTTTCCCCATGTCTCACCAGGCATTTGACAACATCGTTACAGTTATGATTGGTAATTTAAAAGGCATGGAAATTTTGCATTTAATTAGGAAGGGAGTTCATGTTATAGTCATGGTTGAGGTGGGGAGAAGACACATCATCTGGCTGAATCATTATTTTGTCTCTTTTATGATCATCACAACAGCTACTTTAGCATATTTCACCTTTTATCATATCCGGAGACTTTGGGTAGCAAGGATTCAGAACAGGAGATGGCAGCTATTGACAAGAGACCTGAAGGAAGCTTTTGGCCAGCTGCAAGTTCGAGTATTAAAAGAGGGGGATGAGGAAGTAAATCCAAATGCAGATAGCTGCATCATCTGCTTTGAACCTTATAAGCCTAATGACACTGTTCGTATTCTCACTTGTAAACATTTTTTCCACAAGAATTGCATTGACCCCTGGATTCTAGCCCACGGCACATGCCCCATGTGCAAATGTGACATTCTGAAAGCTCTGGGGATTCAGATGGACATTGAGGATGGAATAGACTCTTTGCAAGTTCTGATGTCAAATGAATTACTTGGAACCAGTTCACCGAGGGAAGAGGAGACAAATAATGAACTTCCTCCAGCAAGAACATCAGGCAGAGATGTTCTTATACAAGAGCACCCTGCTTCTCCAAATACTGACAGCCCCCCTCAAGCAGTAGAGGAAACCCGTCAGCCCTCAGTTTGACAGCATAGTCTGGGAGCAAGTGGATTAAACCTGTTTGTCAAACTAGGTCCTAATTCCAACAAGAAGTTTGTTTGAAGTGTAGTTTTTGTGTCCTTCTCTGTCACTCTGATAATTTTTAAGTTTATTGTCAAGCTTCAAAGATGAAGGAAAAGGCCTACCTCAACTATTTTGGCTTACCTTTTGACCATAACTTTTTGTTAATGTATTATTCTTGTGAGTGTCTCTGTACTTATTTCTGGTTATACATGTGTGTTAAAACTAAGAGCAAACTTTTTTCTCTAATTTTTTTGTGTGTATATTTATACCAGGCTTTTTTTAGTAATACAATATATTTTTGCATATTTCTTATAAGAAACTATCATTTATTGTGCTAGCAGTAGTAAAAATTAATTATACTATACCATATTAATTTTTATATCATATTACAGTGTTTTTTTCATTCTTTAAATGAAAATTTTTACAGGTTTTTTTTTTTTTTTATTTTTTTTTTTGAGACAGGGTCTCCCTGTAGCCCCAGCTGACCTGGAACTCATTATGTAGAGTGGG